CTGGTGGCCTGGAGGTCGCACGGTTGTTTGTCGACGTGGCTCTGAAGTAGTGCTCAGCTGCGGCATCTGAATAAACACGCTGAAGATGTGAAAAGCTGCTCTGCGGTTGGCCGTGTGTGATTGTACACATTGACAGCAGGTGACTGTTGATTATTAAAATGACATACTCAGATGTGAAAAGCTAGTGACATGCTGAAACAGTACCAGAAACACAATATTTGTCGAGCAAAACATACATAAAAGGCCGTCTAATAATAAACAGACACAGATTTGTTTCTCTATGAAATGGCTGATGTTATCATTTGTGTCAAATATGCACCCAACGGTACAGGAAATAGGATTTCAACAAGGGTGAAAAATACTCCAGATTTGTGCTAGGTTTTCAGTTTATGCAGTCCATGTTCCCTTACGGGCCTTGGATCCTTTTTTTTTAACTCTCCTGGGTCATCTTTAGTTTATGTTATTGCAGTATGAAAAAGTAGTTTTCAGAATTCTTATTAAAGTTCAGTCATTTTCAACTAAAGCAAGATATGTGTTCATACAAAGCCCTTTCCACTATTCTGTCAAATATTTACAGTATGCTACAATATTTAGCAAAGATGAATAAAGAATGCAGATAGAATAAATAAGTGTTCATTTTATGTGAACGTACATATATTAGTTGCCTAAATGTAATCCTTAGACAAACAAAAGAACAAGCATAACTGTTACAAAGAGCCTAGAGGAAAAGCTTTGAAATACTAACCAATATGGTAATTAGTAAAAACACCTAAATGGTGTGGACATCTTTAAATATTTCCTCAGATATTGGGAGAACTGACTTTTATGGGTTTTCTTGGGCATGTTATGCTTTCTTCTGTCAACACAATACATTTAATATGATTTTGCAAGGATAGAGTCTATTGATTATTTGACACAAAATCTACTATGTGTATGGAAAAACTACGTTTTTTTAAGCCTGGCTTGGTTACATTTTTAGACAAACAACTGTCATGATTTATATGATTTGTTTTTGCCAGGCTGCCAGATGTAGATTTTCGGCATATCTACATACATCATTTAGGCTTTGCTAGTATCCTAAATAGCTCATGTGTTTTGCTTCACTTGGAATGAATAATGTCCCCTTCAAATATCAGTCAGACTGACGCTAATAAAATGCATGACGAACCACCAAAATTGAGCTTGTACAGCACAAACGTGCCCAGGGGAACAGCCCCCCCCCCAAATTAGCTACATTTTCTAAGCCACTGGTTGAGATACAATGCTACAGCCCATTAGAAAGAATTGAGGATGTGTGTGGACTCGGGAAACGGAGCATTTTGAGCCGGGCTCACTGTCAGAGTATCCCAACAGCACTTTCATCTAACCCCCCGCTCGCACCCGCAGCATCGTATGACAACTTTGGCTGCAGCAATACTGGCAGGATCCTGCAGCCCCTGAAGGAGTCATGCGATTATGCATCCCTGTAGCCATTGTGTTCTGAATTACACAAAGAAGACAAGAGGCCGCCTTGGACATACTGTTTCTTTTATGTAAGAGAACACCAGAAAAAAACGGACTATTGACATTGTCTGCACAAAAGGAGACAGCTTAGGACAAAATACGTTAGTGGCCGTTATTTAGAGTGGAGAACAAGACTGAAATAACCTTATTTGTGGGTGAAGCTGTGAGCAAGACGTCCGGATACCTTCTGAAACTAGGAAGTGAAAGTCAAGATATATATTTATATAGAGACATTGGGATTCAAGGCGAGACACAACAGGAAAAACAAAACATTTTTCATGCACTGCTCAAGAGTTTGTGCTGTTTGCTTTCATAGCATGTCTTCTTTTGGACTATATTGAAAAGAAAACCAATTGTTGTGTTGATTTAACAAAAACATGTATTTGCTTCTGTAGATTTCTCTTACATTCTCTTAATTGAGCATCAGATAACTCCTCATTTGTATAATTAAGCATAACATTTTCGAAAACTTGTACTAGAAAAATGAATCGTTTTAATGTAAATAATCATCTTTTTATCGTGTAGATTTTGTAAAAATAAATAGATTTGTTGTTGGTATTCTGAGCAAGGATTCTCTAATTCAGTAGCACCTACATACTACAGGCTTATTCTTTCTTTTTTTACCTTATTTATCTTTATTCTATCGCCATTTTGTTGCTGTCTTATCTTTAAAGAGTACCTCACAATCAGGCAATTTCAAATCCCACAGAATAAAAAAGCATTGCTTGACATTCAACTAGGGGTGTAACGGTATACGCATTCGTACCGAAATTATTCGGTATGGGCCCTTCGGTTCGGTACACGTGTGTAATTTAGTCAGTAATTTGAGGAACTGTCGAAATGGCGAAAGCAGATAAAGTTGAGCTCGAAAATCCTCCAGCATCATTGAAGTCTCCGGTTTGGGAACATTTTGGTTTCGCAGTTACGTACAAGGATGACGGACAAAGACAGGTGGACCGAACCAAAGCTGTTTGTCGGCATTGTTCAACTAACATTGGTTACGCGGCTGGCAATACATCAAACTTGCACACTCATTTGAAAAGGCATCACCCGAACGTGAATATCACCGGTACCAAAAGAAAAATGACTGAAGTGCAAACCCAACTCCCACTAGCATTTAAGCCTCCACCACTCGCAAAAAGTTCAGACCGAGCCAAAGCTATTACAAACGCCAAATATCCTTATGTTGCTATGTTAGCAAAGCGCTACCTGGCTGTATCTGCTACCTCTGTCCCTAGCGAGAGGGTGTTCTCCACAGCAGGAGACATTATTAGTGCCAGCAGATCTGCCCTTTCGGCAAGCAATGTGGACAAGTTAATCTTTCTTTAAAAAAACATGACAATACAATGACAAGCCTAATGTCAAGCTGGCTGCTTAGGGGAGTACTAGTACAGTACAGTTCAATTACAGATTATTTCAGATCATCGAAATGCTGCACCTTAATGTTTATTTTATTATATTTTTTATTTATTTGAGTGAATACATTATTCACAGTTTAATAATAATTAAAAAAAATAATTAAAATATGTTATGTTTTGTGATCATTTTTTTTGCTGTACCGAAAACGTACCGAACCGTGACCTAAAAACCGAGGTACGTACCGAACCGAAATGTTTGTGAACCGTTACACCCCTACATTCAACATATATTGGAAATGGTGTGTTTAGTTCCTATGGTTGGTCATATAGCAGCCAGGAGACTTATTGAAGTATGACGTGCACTCCACTGTGCAAACACTAATCCCTCACACCGCCCCCACACTCCAACATGGAACTGTTTCAATGAATACAGCAAAAACACATTCACGCAGGGATCTAAACAAGGCTCCAGGAACAAGTCTATATGTCTGCAATACACCATTCAATACTTATGTGAAAGCTCATGTGGAGTGAAACATATTCTTGGGATGTACATTCAGCCTCTGTGTGATGGTATTTGTTTGCTGCTGTTACTGGCATACCTCTCCTCCAACTATAGAAAGAAAAACCCAATAATAAGTGCAGCTCCTACACATACAACCAATGCGACAATTAGCTGGGAAAATGAATTCAGAATGGCCGTCCGAGCCGTGGAAATACAAATGAGCTTTATTGTATTTAAAGGAGGGGCAGAAAATCCCCAGAAAATCACTCTGACACAGTCATTGTGTTCATAAAGTTGGCCTCTATTCAGTCAAGGGAATCAGCCGAGCGGCTATAACATTTGTCTCTTGACACCATAAAGACAGTTTTGGGTCTCTGGTTTCTTTATGAGAGAGGGAGTCAGTCACTATCTTAAGATACGACTGTGCTGTGCAATGTAAATGTGACATATAGTGCGGTGTACATTCTGATACAGTGAGACAGGGATACTGTTATAGTAAAGCTTTAGGACTGGAGAGTAATCAACTAGAATATCAAACACCACAGTGTTCCATTTTATCTGTAAAAGCCAATGCTGCATCGTTACACACACACATTTATTTTATTTCCAAGCGTCTCCTTAAGCATTAGTATTTCCAGGACGGATCTATTGATTTGCGAGAAATGAGACGATACCGCACAATAGAGAAGACAATAGGAATGCAAGTGTCTAATGTGGAGAAGGCAGTAAGACAAAGAGAGCATGTGGTGCACAAAACGACACTAAGATCTCAGATAATGCCTCGACGTTGTCCCCACAGGCTCTTATCTCCATTTTCTCCTTCTTCCCATTTCCCCATAAAGCCAAACACAGAAAGTGGTTGATGCACTCCAGGAAAAACATCAAAGTCGAACCATTAGGTCAAACAACCCTCATATTTTACGATTCAAAATGGGCATGTATAAAGAAATAACAGGGCGGGTGAATTTTTTGGGGAATAAACAAATCGCAAATACACTGGAATTCCCTACTTCCTACAAGTGAGAAATGGAGAGACAGTGTGGGTGTTTATGCGAGCGTGCATGTCTATGTGTGTGTGCGTCCGAGCGTGTGTGCATGTTGTTCATGGCAAGAAATCAGCTCAGTTTAGCACATAATGGAAATGTGAATAGCCCAGAGCGCTTCTCTCCCACACAGGGAGCGAGCTGGCTGGGAGCAGGCTGCATGTTTCCAAACCCAAACAGTGAGCGGGAGTCAGCTAGGTTAAAATCCTGCCCCCGTTTCTCTCTCCCGACCCCCGGAGCCATTCACAGCTCTTGCCCATACATTACCCAAACAGGTCATCCAAACAGGTCTCACTAGCAGTCGGAAAACATATTCACACACATATGCGCAACGAGTTATCCACACGGCTGAGCGCACACACACACTGGGTGGAAAGGTGACGTTGCTGATATTATGGGAGATGACATCTTGTATGGATCTCTAGGCAGCCACCAAAATGTTATGCTTAATTTATCTTTTTATATACCCCCAAAAGGTTACCAGCCTCAATACATACAGCACAACAATTTCATTGATATCGTCATGCAACACGGAGATTTCCTTCCCCAGGTTAGTACCTATGCGCCCAGAGAGTTTTGATAGGAACTTACATGCTACTTCAAGAGATGCGTTCCGGCTTACGGCCTCTCCCAGATAGTTTCGGGCCACGCACACGTAGCTGCCGTCGTCGGGCTTGCTCCGTCGCCCGTGGATGATACGCAGGAAGAAGAGGGAGCCGCTGGGCAGCAGCATACGGTGGGATCGGGGGTTGTCGCGGTCCGTCTCAACGCGCTCGCCGTCTTTGTACCATTCCACCGTGGGGGTCGGGCGGCCCTCGGCCTTACAGTTGAGAGTGGCTGGTTCCCCTTTGGACACAATGAGGTCAGAGGGGTGCTCCACAATGCGGGGAGTGAAGTCTTCCTGGCGAAGACGAGACCCTAGAGAGGAGAAACGGGACAGTAAAAAGTTCCATTAAAGCAATTGCCACAATAAATACTTAGGCATAAATAATGCATTTTAATTCCGCTTCAGCCTCAACAGCAGTATGTTTGGGAAAAGATAGGTTTATTTTATTTAGGATGGCCAAACAGAGTGCACCTATCCCCAAAATAAAAACAGGGGGTTGTATATTACCAGGCCAATAACGGATAAATAACAGACAGACATTTTTAATCATACAGTATCTAAAGCTGCAACGATTAGATGACTCGTTCATTAGTTGATCAACAGAAGAATATTCGGGAATAGGATAAAATGTTGATGGTAAAAGTAATTTTTCATGCAAATATGTCAGAAAATGCTGTTTTTCCTCTCAAATGTACCAATTTTCTTTCTTTTATCTGTTTATATCACATTAAATTGAACGTCCTGTGGTTTAGGACTGTAAAATAAGACAACATAATGACATCACCTTGGATTTTGAAATAGATACTTGATAATTTTTTCACAATATCTGACATTTGATTGACAACAGTGAATTGAATTACTAGTTCCAGCCTTAGCTGTATATCTGGTAATAGGAACTAATAATAAAGGGTTTATATTAGGGCTGCTCGATTATGGCAAAAATCATAATCTCGATTATTTGGGTCAATAATTGATATCACGATTATTAAAAACGATTATCCATTTACTTTGAAAACATACATTTATTGGAGAAAAAATTTGAACAGTATGTTTTTAACAGTTTATTACCCTGAACTTTAAGTATAATTCAACTGAAAAAGCAATAAAAAAAAAATAAATAAAAAAAAAAAAAAAAAAAAAAAACTAATAATAATAATAATAACAAAATAATCGTTTTATTTCGATTACGTTGTTTTCGTAATCGTTGCAAGCCATAATCGTAATTGCGATTAAAATACGATTAATTAAGCAGCCCTAGTTTATATATCGTTCTTTGCTCTCACAAACAGTTCTCCAATGCTTTTTAAACAGGAAACATTATGCACACACATTTTGAGAGTGTGCCCGATGTGATTGGCTGGACTAAAATTAAGTATAATTTGATTTTGGTCGTTGGAAGTAAAGTTGATTAGTGGAGGGTTCTTACTGGCTGCAGCACGCGCCGTATTACTACACTCAGGCGCCCATATTTACTTCCACAGACAGGAGCTGAGGAGTCATTACATCTCATTAGCTTTTTCATTAACACGTTCCATCAAACACTGACATCATCAAACATGTTGTCTCAGTGGGTGTGGAACAGCAACTGCTACATAGAATTCCCTTTTCTTTTTCCTCCTTAAAGGCTACACTGTGATATTACCATGTGTGTTATTTAGATTCTAACCCAGCTGTTTGATAGTAAATCCTTGGCAAATGTCATGAGAATGATTCTGACTTTCCTGATTAGGATAAACATTATCATTTATGTGCACGGTTAACATAATATGTTTCATTTATTCAGCCGTGTGAACACTTTTGATGCACTTTTTTTAATTCTACCTATGATAAGGGTTAGGGTTAGGGTTGGAGAAGAGGCACTGCGTTTGTTTACAGTCACAAAACTCTCTTCTGTTTCATGGTTGATGACCACATTATAATATACATGGTGAAAGGTTGTCTTTTTTGCATTATGTGCATGCAATAGCAAACCTAGAGAAGTATTGTTGAGGTGTTTAAAGAGACTTTTTGGTCTGTCATATGGCAAATAAATAAATAAAATATAAATGAATGAAAATGATGTTACATGGTCTCTTGTCTATTTGCCTTTGATGGTGACAAATCATAGACATTGCAGAGGCCACCGTGATGGATGGCTGCTACCACAGCAACAGAAATAAAGCAATAAATGAGAGTAAAATTGATGTGACTGTCTATATTGTTAAGAGGTTTGTTGACAGAAAGCATTCCATTAGCTGGCGCCAACACACCAAACAGTAAGGATACATTATGTTTTTTAACGTGCTTTTAAAAACCTATTTCTTGAGTAAGTAACGTTTATGTGGATCCACAAACAAACCCAGGCCGAGAAAAATACTTATAAATCTCCTAATTGGTTGTCCCATTACGCAGTCACCACTGTGGCTAATGTACAGTTAGACTCCTGCTGTCTGACAACAGATTTGAAATTAGGTGATATAAGTTGTGGCTCTAACTCAGTGGTTGTTGTCAGATAACAGGAAGAAGGTCCTGTCAGTCTGTCTGCCCTGTGATGGACAGGCCACTCATCCAGGGGGTTTGCTCAATGCATTCTCCAGCACCCCGTGACCCTGAATATGAACCAATATGGGTTGGAAATGAATATATGGATATATTTGTTTTTCTATGTGGCTCCTTTGGTTGGCTTTATCGGAGTTGAATAGTTTCGCATTGACAGCTGCTTAACGTGAATGTAGTAAAGTCTTGAAAAAAATGTTTCATTATCTAAAGTCGCCAAAATCTGGGTTATCTTTTAGGTACGGATAGAGAATTTTGGATTGTTTACGATATTTTCCAACTCATTTTGGTCCATTGCTGATGCAGACAGGGATTTACGAGCACATTTCCCCCCCTCTTTTAACCCTTACTGTATATTGTGTTCGGGTCTCCCGTGACCCGTTTCAAGTTAAAATTATATAATAACTACGCTCTAGTTTTTTTTATCGGAACGAGGTTTCATGATATCCTCCACAACAGCTATATAAACACTACAAAACTGATTTTGACAATTTTAGCCAAGTCTGAAGGTCTCTAAAGAAAAAAGTGTATAATTCGGTGTTCGGGTCTGGGAAGACCCAGCAGAATTGTTGTGGGTGACTCGGGGTCAAATTTGGCCCAATCAAGATTCATCTTTGACTTTAGACTGCCATTACATATCGTAACATTTTGGCCTGTGATATCTAAGAAATGTAGTGTGTCCTGTAATGTAATTACAGGACGATGAGGATGTTTAATTTTAATAAATGTTCTGCCGATACAGACGTGTCGATGTCATCGTGCATACTCAGTTTTATCCTAAGACTACCTCAAGATGGATTCACGTGATAAGTGATTTGCTCTCTGCTCAGGTAGGACTCAAAACTTTGCTAGTTAGTTTTGTTTCAGCTGTTACCTCCCCTGTTAGCTTGTGCCGCTTTTTAAAGTCGTAATCTGATTGGTTGCGTGTAAAAAAGCGCAACAGAGGATGTCACACCGCCTTATAGGGCAGCAGTGCTCTCTAGCTAATGACGAAAGCAGCAACGTCAGCTGGTCATGTTAAAGCGGCTTTAAGCTGTTAAGCATGAAGCTTTGTGTACTGCAGGGCTTCCTCTCTCCACCAGTAGGGCTGTTTATGGGGATCTGTCCTTGGTGCTGAAGCTAAAACTCAAGGTCTGGCAGAAAAAGCTGGTCAGGAGCATGTCTGGGCTTGTAAGCAGGGACCACTCTAATAAAAGTCACTTTGAGGTGACAGCTGTCTACCAGTAGAGGAACTCAATTTCGCCTTTAATAACCTAGAGATTCATGTGATTGCCAAATAAAGAGAACCTGTCTTTCAGGCTTTTTATCATTTAAAATTAAGTTTGACATATCATAACCACAAAGTCAGTCAGAGCCCTGCAAATTCAAAATCAGTTATATCTATAAAAGACTCACAGAGATGGACACAAACAGTGAAAATGAGCACACTGTGTGCGTCATATGGATTTTTTTGTGCACAGAGAGACCGCAAACTCTCAGCATTATTCTACCTAATATCATGGAATACCTACAGTACTGCCACAGGCATAGTCAGTAAGACACCAACAGTTTTCTCCTTCTCACAAATGTTTAAAATGGAGCTACTAAATCCCGAAGCTGAAATGCACACAGTTTATAAGACATATCTGCCGAATTGATTACAAGCTGTTAACACCCTGTGATTTATTCTATGTGTGCTATATCTGCTAGATGTTAATAGGGTGGTTCAAATATTATAAACACCTTTCAACTTGGACTGCAACTAACAGTCACATTGTCCATTAAACTGCCAATTGTTTTCTACATTGATCCATTATTGTTTTATCTAAAAATTGTGAATAATAATGTGAAACCAAGTCTAAGGTTTGAAGAAGTGCTGCAGTGTCACTCTAAACCAATAAACATTCAGTTGAATGTGATTTTTAAACAGAGAAAATAAGAAAATCTCTATATTTCATAGGCTGAAAATAGTATTTCTACAATTTCTGCATTGAGAATTACTGTAGCGATTAAAAGTGATTAACACATTGATTAATTAGTCAACTAATCGTTGCAGCTCTACTTTCAGAATCCATACAAAGTCAAGCCTCCATAATGAAAGACTTCCATCAACACTCCTGAAATTGTTAACAAAAATTGGATCGCTATAAGCTTCACAAAAATACTCTGGGATTAATTGCTCAGCCATTTCTGTTGCTTTGCTTCCGATTTCACAAATGTGCTGTACCGCATAAACTGACAACACAGCACCTCCACTGTCCTGGACCCACCCATATCTACACCTGCACTTAATGTACTCCACTGACACAGATTAATGTTACTACAGGGGGTAAAGGGGTACAAAAACCACTTCCATGATAAGGACACTTCCTGTCCAAAAGCTTAGATATATCTCTTAGGTGCAGCTATAGGTCAGTGGTAGACAAACAGTATGAGTAAGCATCTTCTCTATGGCACATTAGCCTTTTCAGCTATGGGATAGCTCCATCATCTGCCTGAGCAACCTTTCACATTATAGGCCACCCAGAATATGACCCAAGATAGGTCCATTACAGCAAACGGTGAGCACAGTGAGATAACTGATGGGTTTGCAACACCTTTTAAAGGGACTTTGCAAAAGGCTGCCACCTCCTAGTCGATTAATTGGTCGTTTTGGGATTCGTTTTTAGTGATTTTTATTTTTTGCAGAATGACTTGTTTTCAATAGACTTCTGAACAAATCAACACAAAAAAGGTTCAAAGTGGTGCTTTTAAACCAATCTTTAAGGAGAAAACCAGTTTTACAATCGCATGAGTGTTAATCACTGAATAATTTCCTAAGTCGAGGACAGCCTTACTACCAGCACAAGACAACCAGGTAATGAGATATAAGGAGGTGAATATATTACAATTAACTTAATTAAAGCCTTTTTTTTAGAAAACAAAAGGTTTGGTGTTTGCTTGCACACTTCAAACGACAAATCTTTCTGAAATACAATTATAAAGCTGCCAAAGATCGTACCCCAGTAACAAATGTGTTCATTTAGAGCAGCCCTTATAAATAAATAAGCAACTTTCGTCTAGCCATTTAGCAGTCGGTCTGGCACAATATCGTACACCCAAGCTGAATAAACCACATAAGATATGGTGCATTTGCTTGCTGCATTTATAGATTTGTAAAACGAGTTTAAGAGGAGAAACAAATGCACTGTACTTCAGGATAACACATTCTGCATCTGCTCCATGCATTGTACTGAAAAGTGAGTCCAACACGCTTCAGGTTGCAGCTGAAGCTAAATGTGAGAGGAAACATCATTGTGATATTTAGTAGTAAGTCAATTCATCAACTTACCGTCGGTTTGGGTGTACAGAAGTCCGCAGAGAAATAAATACTGTAGAGGACCCATTCTGGCATATTGGCCCCGTTGGCTATCGATGCATGAATTCCTCCTCAAGCGAAAACGAACAATCAATGAATCAATGAATCCTGTCTCCACTCGTGTGACTTTGAGACAATTTACTCAAGTTAGTGAACTAAGAAGAACCGAATCGGTTATTCGAGCCGCTGAAGGAGATCATTCACATGCCCATTCTTCCTCTCCAAGAGCGCACCAGAGAACGGCGAGTCGGAAATTTCTGCAGTCAACAATTGTAAAAAAAAAAAACACATCACCGACGCCCAAAGACACTCCAGTTACTGGCGGTTTCCACCACCGACCGTGTTCTTCTCACACTTTACCGGGTCACACCGACCGCGGGAAAACGCATCCATCCTTACGCGGGACAAGTGGAGAGATGGGAAGGTGGAGATGGGATGCAGTCAGAGGTGAGAAGCTGCTCGGTGCAGCACAGCGCAGCAGCCCCTCCTCTCCACTCCGCTGCCCTGGGAGAAACTAACAGGCGAATATAATATACACAATAGATGCAAAACTCAGCAGCACTTTGCGTTCTGGACAATTAGATGCTGGTAATGGCACTCATTAGTGTTTATTTTCTTTCTTTTTTTCCTGGGAGGTAATTTAATGCATCTGGGAAATTCACACGTGCACCAAGATCAATGTATATACAATTGCAAGTATGGCCATTTTGTTAGTCATGTTTTTTTTCTTAGTTTCAATTATTTCTTGGACAGATTAGATGTCTTACATTACTTTACATTACATTACCTTTGGTGGAGCTTTTATTCATTATTCGTATGTATTTAATTGCATAGCTGTCCATAACAAAACAGATTAAGGGTCCTTTTCTTATACATACTTTTTTCTTTTCTTTTCATTTCTTCCTTACATTCTATGTATATCAGCATTTGGAGTAGAGTTGCAACACTATATTAATCAACTGAATAAAATAAATACCGTGTACTGTTGCTTATGGGGTAATACCTCAATTATGTGATGAGTGTATCACATTTGACTCCTTTCTGGTTTGATTTTGTTGAGTTTAATGGTTAAGGATAAGTTGATTGCAGAATAATTAAATGTTTTCTTGATAATCCATAGATATTTAAAGGAATTGCAAATGTCAGAAAATGCTGTTATTATCCTGTCAAATATGGATACTTTCTTCTTTTCTCTTTGGTCTTTTGGGTTTTGGACTGACTAAACAAGACATTCAGAGTCATCTCCATGGACTTTGAGAAACTTGGATGAACATTTTTAAAGGGGCCCTGTTATGCTTACTTTCTGGTTTCATAATTTTATTTTGTGCCTCTACTGTGACATTTTCACAAACTTTAAAGTTCAAAAAGGTCTTTATTTTTCTCATACCTGTGCTGCAGCACCTCTGTTCACCCTTTGTCTGAAACCAGAGCCAATAGAAGCGAATGTGTTACATAGTGATGTCAATATGTAACGGTAGTAAACAAAGGAGCCCAATGGAGGCAGGGGGGTGTATGGTAGACTTCGGGATGATAACCTTTGCAGACCATTTACATGCACAAAAACACACTACAGGAAAGGGAAAACACCAAAAAGCATAATAGAGCTCCTTTGCATGGTTGAGAAAATGATTGGCAGAATAATTAATAACGAAATAATTCTTAGCTGCAGCCCTACTGGCAAACTGTTCTCTAAAGTCTCTCAGGTTTACCTTTACACATCCAGTAAATCAAGCTAATCCGATAAAAAAAAAAGGTAATGTGATGGAATGCAACTGTAACTTAATACAGTTTTGTTACTGGAGCCATTTCGTTTGATCAACAAACACACGCCTCCACTGTCTGGCAGATTTGATCTCATAGATTTGATGCATTATTTCAGTTGTATTATATCTTGACTTTCTCCTCCTATTAACTTACCCCTGTGTCCCACAATGTGTCAAGTGAAATATTTCAAATATTGCCTCCCAGATTTACCTGGTAGCATTTTATTTTCATGTTCATGGTTGGAACAGCTTCTACAAAAGGTAGAGAAGGCTGTAAAGAAATGGCACTTCATCCCACCCACTGCCCGAGGTGCTTATCCTGCCCCGTGGTCAATACCGCTCAATATTTTCAATAGCATTATAAATGCAGCTCCTTGCCGTGAGACGAGGGTGAAATGGGCTGTTCCAGGTGTTATTGATCCAGAGCGTGAAATTAAACCATTTTTGGCATTGTGTTTAGAGCGGTAGATTGAATAGTAATTTGTGGGCGATGGCTAAATCGGGTCTGAATGAAGGGGGCTGCACAAAATCATTTTAATTGGATCGATCTCAACCATCAGAGAATAATATTTTCTATAGAAAGTGCCGGTGAGATTGTTCTCATGGCACCTCAGCTCAAGTCATGGTGTTGTGAACACCTCCCGCCTCTCAATAGCTTTTTGATTACACTCCAATTAAACAAGCCTTTAAAGAAGTGCTGGGATATTTAATTGGCATATTTAAAAAATAAATGCGTCCTTGTATTCCTGGACAATGCAGTGGATGATTGATGTGAATTGTCACTGACTGTTTTTATAGAAAGCTTGACCTTAACCCTTTGCACGTCCTGTCTCTCAAAAGTGCAAGGAGATAATAAATAGGCTTTTGAAGAAATTAATAACCTCACAAAATCCATCAAGGTGAACTTTAATGATGTGGGAAGGAAACTTCAAGAACAAGTGCTAATTGTACCAAATGACTTCATGCACAGTGCTATTCATCATAAGCACTTACGGTTGAAAAAAAATGTTGATATCAATCTCCTACCTCCTGCCCACAGAGAATTGGGATTAAGTAATTGACATAGCGGAAGACTGCAATGGAGCTAAAGCCAAAATGGCATTTCAGTGTCTTAATGCAAGAGAGATATTAAAATGTTCCGTCTAGACACTGATAAAATGGGATGATTAATGAGCGTACTGTGTATGCTGAAGCACATGCTATCAGTGAAACTCATATATCAGTTATTGCTAGGACAGTATGCAACACAGACTGCACCTATACTCTAACACAAAGGAGAGACTTTAAAATAAAGCATTAACATGCATGGGATTTAGATACATCTGTCAGGCAAGTCCATTTTTAGCTTAATGCCAAAAGAGCTGATTATATCATCATGTTGTTTAGGCTGCCATTCAATTTTGAGCAATCCTGCTATTTCTCATAAAGTAAAATAGGCAAATGATTTACGAGATGTATTTGTAATCACACTTTACATCCTTTCTGCTTTACATTTTTTTGTAAATCATTATGATCTGAACAAAAACCATACTGTACATTAAAGATATTGCATTACTGTATACTTAAAGATGCCGATCATCTTTGGCAAGGCCAGCCTTACTGGCGGGAAGACACACATTAACCTTCTTGGAAAATAGCTGATATATATATAATGTATCCGGGAAAAGCACCTGCATCTAAATGTATATATGGTGAGTAGATTGAAAAAAAGCATTAAAATGAGGAAATCCAGGAGAAAATTGCAATTGCTGTAAGTTATTGCGTACTGGCTTTTCTGTCTATAATAAGGTCATAACAAGAGAAGAGGTGATTGTTTATCTTTGAAGTTGAATGAGATAAGAGAGGCAGAGAAATCACACACTGAGACGGACATGTTTCCAGGCAACGTGGAACTCTGCCGTCTTTCTCACACAGACCAACATCAAAAGGGCTAGCAACTCTCATCAATCTACCTCTCTCTCTGTTGATCACACACAGGAGACAGTGTCAAGGTCACGAGTTTTGTCCGCACCATTACCTACTCATAAGCGTGTTTGTCCAAGCCAGGAGTGTAGGAGGTAACAGATGGTGTGTGTGACAGTGTGTTCAACACCAGGCAAGCTCAGCCTTAGTGAGAGTCGACAGAGTAGACATGTGTCCTGACCACGAAGCCAAAACCTGTGTACAAGTGACACAAGGTGTTCAGTCCGGTGGAAGCCTCAAACAGTGCTTGAAATATACACCAATGAATATTTTCATTTGATGCAACTAGAAATGTAAAAAAAAAGGCACAGTGGACTGTATTTTTTTTGTCATAGCTGAACTGTATCACACAGCATTTTAAATTGCAGCATCAACATATTTGAACACTGGTGTTGTGGTTGGGCTTATTTCCAAACCTAATAATTGTATGTGTTCAGCTTTTTGCTTTAAAAAGTGCTGAACAAGACTGAGTTGAAGCTGATAGCACTTTCATTTACAATGTGTAAACTGTAACAGAAGCGTGACATTTTCATCTTTCTAGACCATTTTTCTTCTCATACAGCATAATACAAGCAAAGACCATATGTTGTTCAACTACCATGGCCTTTTTTTACTAACCCTAACCCTGCTTTTTAAGTTTACCTGCACACCTTTACCTTTACTCTATTCCAATATATTGTTTAATAAAAAAAGACAATTATAATATGAAGGAATATATTGTTCCACTGTGTATGTTCCATTAAGCAAATACAAAAAAATTAAACCAGTTAACCACATTTCTTTTAGTATTACTAATCCCATTGAGGTTTCAGCTCAGTTTTTTGGATTGCAGATAACTCAGAATCAGAATCAGAATACCTTTATTCGTCCCACAGAGGGGACATGTACGTATTTACGTACGTATTTACTGAGTTATACATCTTAAATGGCTCGATGTAATAAATAACCTTAAACTGTATTGAACTGTTAATTTGTCCATAAGATATCAGTCATGTTATAATGCATTGTCTAACCCGTCAGTTGCAGTGTCTTGGTCCTTTCGAAGCCGAAGTTAGTTTTTGTCTTCCCCTATTGTTCAGATTGGCTGAGTTCCATACGTTATTAGGATAATGTGTGGGGGTGTTTCATAGCTGTCAGGGAAACTGTGATTCCTTTTGAATACAACATGGGGTAGCAAGGGCTGAGGAAAGAGAGACAGTGCAAGCTGGCAGTGAAAGTGGGAAAGGTCCAACTGAATGTTCCAGGAAGCAAAATCCTGTGGGGGATTTCCTGCTTGAACAGTCTCACACAACAAGTCACAGAAGCTTAACCAGCAAAGATATATTGCCAGTCACTCCCAAACAGCATAAAGTATATGACCGTATATGACTCCTTGTGTTGGTGTTGGTGTTGGCTGGGACGAAACGAGCAACGAAACAAAGCCATTGGCACCCAGCTTTCTACCTCCAGTTACGGCAATATCTGGGTCTGAATTTGGTTTCCAGTTACATTTCATCATCAAAATGATCCAGGATACTAGAGGCAGCTGTTGAAAAAAACAGTATTGTAAAGCCTTACAAAGTTAAACAAAACAATACAAGTTGCTCCCATGGCTGGTGAACTGGTGCAAGAGAGTCGGCTGAATTTCTCACAATATCCGATAGATGACAATATCCAGATTGGGTGCTGCTGCCAGCAAAAACAATCTTTATAGATTGCATGGTCAGCTGATAATTAACTATACATCATCATGCTCTGATGGAGTTCATG